TAGACACGTCTGAGAAGATAAACCCCGACTTGTACATCGGCTGGCCACTGCAATTCATTGTATAGGCCACATACGCATTCAATCAGCTGCTACGATTCTGAATGAAGGTCAAATGCGGGGCGCATCCCTCAGATTAATGCCCAAAGACTTTAGGACTTATTTGCATTTGCACTAGATTTTCGCGATCAAGACTTAAGACAAGCCTAGACGGTGAGCTCAAATGCCGATTTGCTTATACATGGTACTGCTACTCTAGGTGATACTGCATAATAAACAAGAGACTCTAATGGGCTTTACTAATTCAGGGCCGGATGAGTCATTCGAAATGGTTCCACCTGATGTCCCAGAAGAATCGGCTCCTAAAATTATCGAACCGTTGCATTCAGCTTCATTTATTGACGGTAATATTTTTCATGGATACTGTAAATGCTTGCTTGGAAGGTATTCCATGTCAAAAGAGTTCCTGATCACGAAGCTTCAAATTGATCTTTCGAGGGTTGTGAATCCGAGAAGCCATTTTTCTATTGGAAGATCAGGGGTGGGGGAAGATGAGCAGTAGGAACGGTTTTGTGTTATTGATCCGCCGCACGCGGCTGTCGCGGACCATTTGCCTCACTGTAACTGTCTTAGCCTTCATACACCTCAATCGCTATGCGATTATTTCTTTTAGCATGATCCTACTGTTAGTCCTTTTGTTCCTGTATTTCCTACTTGCTGCTGCATTCTGCCACATTCCTTCGCGCGCAACATCTCTTGCCGCGACGCGACAACTTCGTTCCTACTGCACCACACTCCATCAGGGGGCAAAAACCTGTGCAGATTCACCGAGATGTTTGATTTATGAGAAAGACGTCGCCTCAGTAGGAATCCATTCGCATGTTTCACAGACTTAGGAGCATTTATCATTTATGCAAGAAAAATGACAGGAAAAGGTGTCATGTGCTCTTCGAGTCGAGTAGGAGGCTTTTGAAGAGTTTTGGATAAACTTCTTCAATGAATTGACAAGACTGGGAACGATTTCTGAGTTATGCCTACGAATTGTGATAATTACTATACATTATACTAAGTAAAACTGTATAATACACCTCGATATCCGGAGATCATCAGATCCACTTAAGGACAACCAATGGTTCTCCGTTGCCGAATTAAGGCAGTGCCTTCAGCGGTGATTGTTTGGTCGAAGGATGATCTCAATGTTGATGAATGGGTTATCAATAAGGACATTGTCACTCAGGTAGTTTTTTAGCGTCATTGTCTCACATTATTTATCTTCATTGAACTTCATCAGCTCCTAAATGATCCAGCTACTTTCAGATACATCCCGATGGAATTTGTGAATTGATGAATCCTGAAGTTTATCCAGAAGATAGTGGCCTGTACAAGTGCACAGCCACTAATCCTCATGGAACTGCAGAAACTGCTGCATACATCAATATTCAAGGTGAGGTATTTCGGAAATACTGAACTGTTGAATATTCTCAACACGAAAGTGATTTGTACTAAGTTACAGGTCCCCTCGACTACTCCAAAGGTACTGAA